GGGTCCGGCGGACCGTTCCGGGTATGGGAACCTGGAACTACGCGACAAGTACCTGAGCGGCATCCCTTCCCGCGTCTATCGCAAACTCGAACTCGAAACCTTCGCCACGTGGCAAGCCGCTGACAAGCGCGCCACCGAGGTCGAGCAAATCCTCGACGTTAGCCGGGCTCGTCGGCCCGAGCTAAACAGCTTCTTCTCGGCACGGGGTCAAGGACGCGGAGGGGCACGTGGTGGTGCACCCTCGTCACACGCAGCTTCGGCCAGCATCAATACGGCCGTCGGAAAAGGAAACTTCCCCGGCACATGCTTCGGCTGTGGGAAGCAAGGATACCGACGATTTGAGTGCCCCAACTGTAAGGACAAACCTTACACAAAACGCGCCGATGCGCGGGCTACGGTTGTCTCGGGATCCACCCAGGCGGCGACAAGCGCCCCCGTCACGACATCACCCTCGGCAAGTATAAGTGCCGCTTCAGCGAAATCCGAGCAATCGGAGCTGGCGGACTTAATGGCACAGGTGAAGTCGATGCGCGAGGAGCTCGAGCATTATCGGGCGATGAAGGAGGAGGGTTTTTGATCCGGTCCGCGCTTCGTGCCGCACGCGTCAGGCCGCGTAATAATAATTTGTACAATGTATTGGCGACTGCGAATGTGTACGAGTTGGACCACGGGTCCCAGCATTTCCACATCCCGGTGCGCCTCCAAGGAAAAAGACGGCACAAGGACATAATCGCTATGGTGGACAGCGGAGCCACCACGAAGTTTATCAACAAGCGATTCATTGAAGAGAATAAGGTGCAGACGCGGAAATTGAAAAAACCGATTCCGCTATACAATATCGACGGCACCCTGAACAAGGACGAAAGCATCTCGGAGGTAGCAGTGCTACAGATGCATATAGGAGAGCACGTCGAGAAGACGGTGTTCACGGTCACGGACATCGGTCCAGAGGATGTGATCGTCGGGTTGGATTGGCTACGCGAGCACAACCCCGAAATAGATTGGGAGAAGGGCTCCCTCAAATTGTCGCGATGCCCTGAAACGTGCAGTGCCAGGAGGACTGGCCGAATGGAGCAAGCAGCGACTGTGCGTGATACGGGGGTCAGGCCCACGGCGCGCAGGCGTTCGCCGAAATCCAAACGGTCGGTTATAGGCGCTTGTTGGAGTAAGGTACTCCCGGACTTCGAGCCCGAGGAAGATCCGGTGGAGGCAGAGTGGGATGAGGTCGATTTGATCGAAGCCTGGGAGCAATGCATCACGCTTCCCGGTGCTCCTCAGCTGTTTGTTGCGGCAGGACATACATACTCCCAGCTGTTCGCGGAGGAAGAGATCAAAAAGAAGGTCGTTAAAACCGCCGAGGAGTCGGTGCCTAAACAGTACCACGAGTTCCTGGATGTCTTCTCCAAGGAAGCATCAGAACGGCTACCCGAAAGGAAGCCGTACGATCATGTAATCGAACTCGTGCCCGGCTACTCGACCTTCCATTCGAAAGTGTACCCCCTGTCGAACAACGAGCAGGAGGAGCTTGACAAGTTCCTCAAGGAGCAACTAGCGAAGGGTTACATACGAGAATCGAAGTCGCCCATCTCGTCCCCCTTCTTCTTCATCAAAAAGAAGGAAGGGACGCTTCGACCTGTGCAGGACTACCGCCGATTGAACGCGATCACAGTCAAAAATCGTTATCCCTTGCCGTTGATCGCCGAAATGGTGGACAAGCTCCGTGGCGCTACGCTCTTTACGAAGTTCGATGTCCGATGGGGATACAACAACGTCCGGATCAAAGCCGGTGATGAGTGGAAGGCGGCCTTCGTAACTAACCGGGGACTGTACGAACCCCTGTGTCGCGACTTGGGGTCGAGCGACAGGAGAAAACCTAAAAGCTGGGGGCGTTCGACTGGTTCTTACCGAAGCGATGGTGAGCTAGGCTCGAACCTAAGGCTAGGGACAAGTAAGTTAGTATTGAATAAGTAGGTAAGTACAGGGGCTTACTGACCTAGGGACAAGAGGTCGAAACTGAGGTCCCTAGGGCAGCAGAGGCAGGTTTATATACAGGGGGAGATTAGGGCAGGCTGTGCACGTTGGTCCGTGCGCAGCATGCCGACGCGGCCCCGGGGGCCGGTGAGTCAGAGCGGCTGTGTCAGCGGGGCCCGAGCTGTGCCGTGCGTTGCCGCCCCATCTAATCTAATCGTACAGTAGATAGTGACGCGTCCATATCAGGCAGGTAGTACAGAGGTCGCGGGTTCGAGCCCGCGAAAAGGAAAAATTAAAAAACGGCTAGGCGCCGTACCAACTCGTGACACCCTGGTGATGTTCTTTGGCCTCACTAATTCCCCCGCGACCTTCCAGGCCATGATGAACGAGATCTTCCACGATCTCATCGTCGGCGGCAAGATCCTTGTGTACCTGGATGACATACTCATCTTCTCCACCAACAAAGAGGAGCATGAAAAGGTCACACACGAGGTTCTGCGTCGCCTTCAGGACAACGATCTGTTCCTGAAGCCTGAGAAGTGCGAGTGGGACGTTCCCAAAGTTGACTACGTC